CTGATTAACGCTGTTTAAGGAAATAATCCCTTTTTGCAGTGAGAATAATACGAAACCCACAAATACAAAATGAAGTGTTATTGACCGTTAAAGCAGGCGGGACATATAGTTGCCTCTGGGCTGTCAAAAGTGTAACTACTGGCGTTGAGGTCGTCAGAATTAAAATGGATCTTAAGGAAGTGAGGTTGAAGAGTTTTGATTGGATTCATCTGGATCTAGATAGGGACTGGTGGCGGACTCTTATGAACACAGTAGTGAAAGCAGAAGGTCATCTTCACACCCGCCGCCGTCAGAACTTCGAATCCTACTTAGCCGGGGAAACTCTTGACTGACTGACTAAGCTTTTGTGGGAGTCTGTTCCCTGTCTGAGGTTAGTTTTGTGGTTTAAATAACCCACGGACTAATGGACACTGGTAGACTGTTCACTCTAACGACACGGCACGATGTGCCAGAACACTGGAAACCTCACGATAATTTTGTCGCTGGTTTACACCACGGCCGGAGATCATAAATTTCCGGTATTGCCGGAAGTATTATATTCACTTTTCTGCGTCTGTTTTTCTTTCCCAATAAATTCTGCCTGTCCTGTCCTGTCCTCTCTTCACGGAGCGGACACAGAAAGCCTCAGATACACAGACATGTAAAATATTCTCTGCAGTATTGGAGGCCTGTCGTGTCTTTGCCGATAGGATGACGTGACGTATCTTCGTGAATGGAGCCTTAAAGCGACGTCATCCATGTTAGCGCCTTTATGTATTGATTCGACTTTCTGCAGCACGTTGGAGTCGGAGAAGTTGCCGCTGGCGCAAGGCGGAATTCCAATGTTTATTTAGGAAATGCCTGAAAGTTTACAACACGAACTGAACAGCAGAAGCACAATGCTCGGTAGCGATGTATTCACGGCGCACACTTTTAGACTCTCACCATCATCACAAGAACTAAGTTTTGAGATAATTTGCGGCAAGAAGACACAACTTTGTTTTTAATTACTGCCTCTTAATCTTAGAAATTGTGAAAGCTGTTATGAGCACGTGGTGGGCTTCATTGATGGGAGACGAAAAGCTCAAATCGTACTTGACATTTGTCCGTGTGTTTGATTGAAATGTCAAGATATGGAAAATATTCATAAGCAAAACTCTATTTTACGTAAAACAGTGCAGTACAAATCTGAAAGAATGTGTTTTCTTCTCTCGCTATATTCTGTCTATACATAGACCTATAAACATGTTGGAGGTCTGAAGTATCCCTTTTTTCCTGATACCGAGTGTACGCGTAAATTTAAATGTTACTCAGCTCATCAGCCAAAATTGTCATCACCATATTGATGAATGAATGAGCAGCACTTTTGATCTCGGAAAATAATGTTAACCACCGCGGTGCATTTGCCTTTGAAAATTTAAACTGCTTCATACGACTGGGACACGAATAAAAAACACAGTAATTACTGAATTTTGTTGATTGGGGTGTAAGGGTTATTGCGCTCTTTTTGAGGGCGTTAGCATTCCCTGCAAAGTGGCCGTTTAAATCCACCCTTCGAAGGGCGTGTAACAAGCCGAGATTCTGCTTAATAGACTGTATGAAACATTGAAGTTCTAACTACCAGAAAGCAGGAAATATTGGCATAGTTTTGCGTTTATTAGATTCAAGATAATCTGTTCACTTATTTTGTACAACCTGTTATTCATTACATGCAAAAATTACTTCAACTTGATGTATCTTCTCAGAGAAATTTAATGTTACTTTAGTTCTTCAGGAATTAAAATTTAATTTAAGTCATAAATTTTTGTTGTCCAACACGGTAATCATCATGGAAATAAATAATTTCATGGATGTAAAGCAGCCTTTAATTTTAATTGTTTCCACGTATTTCTTACATTAAATCTCATTCGATATATATAAACTGCTAGTTAATAATCTTAATAGAAATACACATTTACGCCGTAGAACAAATTTTATGTTCCACGTTGCTATTAAAACCGGTGTGATCTCCCATTTACTTAACAACCGTGAAGTTATCACATTAATATTGCCTGAACGTACATTAAGTGTTAAATATATTTATTATTAGTCCTACTTTGTGTGAATTAAAAATACTTTAAAATAGTTATGGTTAACTCGGGTGTGTTATGTTGAACTCTGATATTCTGATGCTGTTACTGGACACGCTAAATCATACTTATAGTGTGTCCCAATATATTTTCTCATTCTCAGTTACTGGTGTAGGCGTAGTATATACGTGAGCGGAAAAAAAATATGACAGGTTTTTGTGATTAGACTAATTTTTCCCTGTGTGTGAGAGTATTTATTGGCAGCAAAATGTATTTGTTAACAATAATTGGTCATTACCGCTGTTCAGATTGATTTTTTCCACGAATCATGTTTGCCTACCCCTGTTGTAGTTAATTCTCATACGCATGACCTGGAGGCGTCCAATTAGCTTCCGATAATTTTTATGGAACTGTATAATGTTGCATTGGGTTTATTGTACGCTGTAAAAAGTAGCTTTGGCGTGGTAGGTGTTTGAATCACAAATTAGCATGAAATTTAATAAGATAAAATTAAAACTTATGTACATTCCTGCGATTCACGTACATTAATATTCACTAAACATAATTTAGACTTTTGTAAGTGGTAGTAATAATTTTAAACTATAAATTAAATCACATCAGACTTATAACTAGTGTTGTTTCATTTGATAACATAAAGGATGCCGCTGTATGGTATAGTTGACGACGATCTGGGATTTTATTGTTCATCGGTTTTTGTATTATTAGTAGATGATCATTTTAACTAGGTCGAAGGTTGTTGAGATATTTATTGGTTAATTCCAGTGACAACAAAAGTTTCTGTTGTTTCCCGTTAGCAATAACAATTCGGCAGACATGCCAGTTGGACCAACTCAGATACGTTGTACTATATATCACATCTGTATTCCCTGTAGCATGTGTAACTCACTAAGTTACGTTGTGGGTTCAGTGTATAGATGATTATTATCAAATATCGAAGAAATAACTCAATGTAGCACAGTCCTTTTTGTAAAGCTGGTAGTTACTCAGCTAGTGAATAAATTCAGGACTGACTGTCCTGATGATCTTGTCCCATGGCTCTGTCGTGATCCCATTGAATCCAGTCGAGTCCATATTACTCCTGTTCTCGAAGATCGAATTTAATGTTATCTTCATATCCACATCCAGATCTGTCGATTTTCCAATTCAAGTTTTGTTCGCGTTCATATTTCCCATGTGTACAGACAGAATTGTTGTGTATAAAGTTGAAAGTAAGAGAGACAGGGAGTCCTTGGCGTAGATATGAAGTACGTCATTTTCAAAATTTACGCGACAGGAATTCATGATGGTGAGATTTTGTGTATTCATCCCTATTTCCGCTTACATGTGTTATTTGGGAGAAATTTGGTCAGGGAGCAAATTCAGGATTAATGAAAAGTAATTTGATTGCGCAGTAGATACGAAATTGCAGTAAATAAGTATCAAGACCAATAACGAGCGAAAAAGTGATAGTGGAACGACGGTTCCGGAGTATTTGACGTAAATACGTCTATACGGAAAGGAAGTTTATATATTGGCTTTATTCTAAATATTTCCTGTATACCCGCTTTACAATTGAGTAAAGTTTGATTAAGACTTTGCTTATTTAACTTGAATTAGTTACGCTTAAGATGGGTCTGTGGTAGATGAATGTAATATAAAGTAATTTAATGTAATGAAATGTAATGTAATGAAATGTAATGTAATGTGATGAAATGTAAGGTAAGGAAAGGTAAGGTAAGGTAAGGTAAGGTAAGGTAAGGTAATGTAATGTAAGGTAAGGTAGTGTAATGTAATTTTTTATAGATAACAACAATGCCGAGTAAACAGATGACGTTTCCTAGGTAACAAAAATGCTTGAATACTTAACTTGAATTAGTTACGCTTAAGATGGATCTGTGGTAGATGAATGTAATGTAAAGTAATGTATTTTAATGTAATGTAACGTTTCCTATGTAACAACAATGCTGAGTAAACAGATGAGGTTCCTAGGTAACATAACAATGAAGTTAGATTTTTTCGTAACACTTTTTTGCCGAATGACCCTTCCTCATAGACGTATTTACGTCAAAACTGCGTATTGGAATGAACTTTCTTGTTATATTTTACTTATTAATAACGTGATTATTTATACCCCTAATACGACGCGTGTGCCGTCGTGGCAATGCGATTTCTGTGTCTTTGTAGCCACTATATCGTATTTTGCCTCAAAGATTTCTGTTTGCAGTTAGAGGATTGTTTTTGAATAAAAATGCTTTGTTTTCTAAATGCAGCGTTCTAGGGGTATGTGCTCAAGGGATTTTGAGAGTGGCATTTTGTGTTCTCATCTCCTGCAGGTCGTGTTTAGAAGACATTTGGGTTTCAGGAGTAGCAGGTGAGAAAGTATTCTGTCGCGTGAAAGATACCTGATAACGACAACACGTAAATAGCATGAGATAGTGCGAAGGGCGTGAGCTATTAGTTGTTCTTACTGCAAGAGTCGTCTATGTGCGGAAACAGATTTCTTTTCATTGGGAAATGATCCGTGGATTACCGGTTCAGGAATATTGGTTCTCTGTACTGGGAAGGGTTCCGTGGGCTACCGGCGCGCAGACACATACAATTGCATAATGAGTATCATAATTTGCAGCCCATACTTCTACATATTAAAATAATGAATTAATGGATGATGCATATAGCATGCATAGAGACATAATGCTGCGTACAAAAGTTTGGTTGGAAAACCTGAAGAGGCGAGGCCAATCGGAAGGAACAGGTATAAATTTGAAAATATTAAAAATTATCTTAGGGGAATGGAGTTAGAGGAAGTGGATTTGATAAATCTGGCTAAGATTGGGACCAGTGGAGGGATTTTGTGAACACGGTAATGGGCCTTCCAAAAGAGGCATGAAATTGCTTCTCTGTTAGGAATGACTGCTCCGTGGAGTTAAATAGACGCGTGACGGACAGACTTACCTTGGGAGGTTCAGCATTATGAACACAGTGGATATTAGTAGCAGCATCTTCGTAATGTTCTGCTGGGCTCGGGTGGACACCAAGTTTCTGTTGGATGTTCTCACGTCTGCAACAAAACATAATTGTATTTGTTTAGCTCCACACCTTTGGTTTCTTGTTGTCATGATAAATTTCTCAATTAATGGCTCAGTGTTATTAATATGGTAGCAGAAATGTCAGGTGTTCTATCGACTTTTACTGACATTTTAAGTTATCTTTCCGTTTTGAAAACGTATGACACTTTAAGACGCATAATTTTCGCCTACTTCATCTGCCCCTTGCATATTTTATGACTTCTGCAGATTTATCTTGCAAGTGACAGGGCTATATATCCCTTTTACATGCCACAGGTAATCAGGTCACGTTAAAGTAATTGGCAGCGAGTTTATGGAAGATATAAAACATTCTGGGCTGACCGGCCCCTAAATTGTTTCAGTTCAATTGTATGCTTGACAGTTTACGGAAAACCAGCCTGTTAATTAAACAATAAATTCAGCTTGTGCCAACTTTGAGAGTTGAAAAAAATAAAAACAATTATCTGTATTTGTCTTGTGGATTTTTCTTTTCAAGTCTGTAGGGATTACACATGCTACAGTTTCAGCAAGAAACGAGGCACAGGTATGGCTGTAGCAACCGGAGAGACTAATTTAATCATTGACTATCTACTTTTAATCTTTCCGCGCGACACACACATATATTTAAATAGTTTCATTTTCTTAAATTTAAGAACCTGCCTTAATGTTACATATATATCTCTCGAACCCTTTGATAGATTCCTGTGAAATTTGTTACGCGATACATCGTATTAGGTCTCAAGAATATTACAGTTAGACTTATTTTAATGAAATGTAATATAAGTAGACAAGTCTTTATTGTATGGTTATATTTTTTTTAAATCATTATTTGCATAACATTAAAGCTCATTATATTCTTTAATAAAGCAAAGATAATTGAGAATAATAATTTTAATTTTTACATGCTGCTTTGTTAGACTTTCAAATATAAACTCAGGTTTTTCCGTCATTCTTGGCTGATAATTTGAATGATATGACATATTTTTATAAGTTCAGGCAACTGAATTTTTAACCTTAAACACACAAAAAGAAATCCTTTGGTACATTAAATTTAGATCAATTTTTAATCTGTGAGATTGGATTCTCACGTCTACAATCTGAAGATGGCCCTCTTCTGCGATGTTGTGCCACAGTTTCATCATGACGACGACCTGATAATGGAAGCAGCGCCGTTGAAACTCCTGTCAATATCTTGTCAGACTACACTGCGCAACATCCCACAAGACAGTCATCTTCAGTTCTGAACTGTATGATATTATTTTGTTTGCACCTCGTCAGGGCTCCAGGGGGTTCAGAACAAGATTGTTTCAGAATTGGTATACAGCCAACCAATCTTTGCTCACATAAATTTGAGAACCATGTAATTCGTCGACTACATTTAACACGTAGTTCACTTATCGCGCCGTAGAATTATTACGCGTATATTCAACCAGTTTATAATCGCTGGGGGCTCTACTGTGGTGATTTCATATACCTGATGCTTCATCCTGTCCATCATGAAGGTGATATGAGCCTTGTTATTGGAGCTTGTACCAACTGAGTATGAAATTTATATGCAAAACCAGAAGTGTTCCCGCCGCCCACACAGAAATCGAGAATTGCTCTATCGCCGGAAACTGGACGGAACATAACATCCGCTTATTCCACCGTTAAGCACAAATACGTGACAAGACTTAACGTCTGCAATGTTGTAGGTTTCGAGCCTCGAAAGGCCGGAGGGAAACTCGAATTGCCTTGTCAAGAGATCGCAATAGACAGACTTTCCTTTCGGAGTGTGTCTGCCTTACTGACTGGTCTGGATATGTCAAATATGCCAGATGCTAGGCTTTATATGAACGGAGCACGGGAATAAGGAATGTATGTTCAATCCGCTTGTTAGTTCTTAGGTCTGAGTAAGTGTAAACGTAAAGTTTTCTTGCGTAATGCATATCCAATTCCAAGGAACCTAATTACGAAGCCTTTTACAATCAAACTCCTATGAAGATTTTAAATGTGTGGTGGGAGAAGTCTGATTTTCACGGTCTGTGAAGTGAGAACATCGACTTGTATCTGCCTGTTCATGTAAATACAAATTAGTTAAATTAATTAAAGTTGTGTAACTCATCTAATGTTTATTAATGCTCGACTGCATTGCTTAGGGCGCATAGAACGAAGGTTTTTGAAAATAAACATCACCACGTCATTGACATACAACCTTCTTATCTTCTTGACTATGTAAATAAGTTATTTGGTGGTTACTTTAAACAGAGAATTTAATTGGAATTTGCATTTGTGTGTGATGTCAATTCAAGGTTTTTGATTTAATATTTAAAGAGATGTGTAAGCTAACTTCATAGTTAAATCACACCGACAACATTTAAAAGTTATAACGAAAAATATTGACTAATAGGTTCACGGCTTGTCTTCCGAGGTTTATAGGCAGATTTTTAATTTGCTGGAGTGTCTGTCTTCCTCTGCCTAATTTGGCAGTGGGGCTTGAATCTACTTCGTCAGGCCACTCAGCTTCGCCCTTTCTGGCAGCTCAGACCTGCCAGTAACTAAGCTACCGTCGGTATAATTGAAGAGATTACTAGCTTAGCCAGTAGTGAGTTTAGGTGTGTTTCAACTATGTAGTTATTTGCTGCTGACATAACTAATCCCACATATAGGGAATTATGGTGCCTTGGTACTAGATGCGGTGCATAGTTAGCTTTATACCCCGGCCACGTTTCTGAGATGACATGGATCATGTTTAAATTAATTGTATGGTTTCAACTAGCTCCGTACAAGCCTTCTTCAAAAGCTAAGAATATGGGTAAGAAGCCAGTGAAATGTCCGTCATCTGTGGAACAGTTAATAACCATTTGTACAAGATCCCAGCGTTGGCCCTTATCCTGAGCCAGACGAATCAAGTCCACGCTCTCATATCGAGTTTCTTTAGGGACGTAGTAATGTTATTCTCCAATTTACATCTAGATCTTACAACTTTTATATTGAAGATTTCCGTCTTCCGGGTTGTTGCGCTGTGTAGTCTGGTCGATGTTAACCAACGTTTCAGAGGTCATACTGCCTCCGTCATCAGAGTATGAAGATTTCTGTCTTCTGGGTTGTTGCGCTGTGTAGTCTGGT